AGGGTTGAGGAAAAGCTCCTTGTAAGGCTGAAGAACCTTCTCGAAGACCGTGATGGCTTTCTTGATGTCCCCCTCCGAAACGTCGTAGTGGGTCACCATCCGGATCCGTCGGGGACCCACCGCAAGTGCAAGCACGTTCCTCCGCTCTAGCTCCTCCAGGAGCTCGGGCGGGGACAGCGGGAGCCGGTCCTCGAAGTCTATCATCACGATGTTGGTCTCGACCGCTTCCACGTTAACTTTCAGGCCGGGGAGGGTGGAGAGCCCTTTGGCCAGTCGCCTCGCGTTCTCGTGGTCCTCCGCCAGGCGCGGCAAGGTCCGTTTGAGCGCCACCAGTCCCGCCGCCGCCAGCACGCCCACCTGGCGCATGGCCCCGCCCAGAGCCTTCCGGAGCTTGCGGGCCTTCTCGGTGAAGGCGCGCGACCCGACCAAGAGCGAACCGGCGGGTGCCCCAAGCCCCTTGGACATGCAGACAGTGACACTGTCGGCGTGCTTGGTCATCTCCTTCACGTCCACCCCCGCCGCCACCGCCGCGTTCCAGATGCGAGAGCCATCCAGGTGGAGCTTTAACCCGTGCTCGTGCGCGAGGGCAGCCACAGACTCAAGGTAAGTGGTGCTCAACACGCGGCCCCCGCACCGGTCGACCGGATTTTCCAACGTAATGAGCTGAGCGAGGCTTGCATCACTCGACTCCTCAACGATGGCCTTCCGGAGGCTCTCCAGGCTCAAACTCCCATCCGCCTCGCTATGAGGCACAGGAAAGGGGCTCACCCCCCCGAATTGTGCAGCGCCACCTTCTTCACACAGGAAGACGTGACTCTTCTCCCCGCAAATGAAGGAGCTACCGCGGGCAGAGCACCAAATCATGATGCTGATCAGATTCCCCATGGTCCGTGAGGGCACAAAAAGCGCCGCCTCATGGCCCAAAATCGAGGCAACTTCCCTTTCTAATTGGTCTACGGTGGGATCCTCCCGGAAAACATCGTCCCCTACCTCCGCCTTGGACATGGCCTTTCGCATTTGCTGTGTGGGCAGGGTGACGGTGTCACTTCGGAAGTCGGAAAAACCCTGCCGGACGGCCACAGCGGGGTAAGGCGGTGGATTCGTAGTGGGAGACGTGATGGGAACGCCCGCAGGAGACGAGGTTGTCGTTTCGGAGCCTGAGGTTGCACTGGCGGAGGCCAGGGGAGAGGAGAGAGTGAGGAAACTGGGTCGCGGCGGCAGCTCCTCAGGTCGAAGATGCCAATTTTGAATCCGCGAACCGAAAGAGCCTGTGACGCAAGGTCTTGCCAGGCCTGGTCCGACCCATGCTGTCGATCGCTCGCACAGGACTGTGAGCAGCAAAGGTATTACAGCCAGGCGGCTGGAAAGACGAAGCATTCTGGTCGCACGCCCAAGCTGTTCTTGTGAAATTGAGAAAGTACTCCTCCCCACCCTTTAAAGGACACA